AAAATTGATAAGATTTTTGGGGTTTTGGTTAGCTTATCAATTTGGTAAGAATTAAACATAAATAAGAATGTCGATTTGGCAGGTTAAAAAACAAAGAAGAAAAAAAAGAAAAAGCAAAAAAAAAAAAAAGAATAAATATGACACTCTTAAAATATTGATAATGTTGATATTACAACATCAATGACTTTTTTAATTGCTATCCAAATTTTTTCCTTTCCAATCTTCTCGAATAATCGTTTTTTTTTTTTACTTTCTGACAATTTCCTTTCCTTTTTCCCTACAATTTCAATCAAATATCTTATCAAAAAAAAAAAAAATTCATCCTACTAATTTCACACTGGTTTTCTTTTTCAAATTTTACGTCCACAAATTACAACAATTTGTTAAGTCTAATAGTGATACTGCCGGAAAAAGAAGATATGCACTTTTATCCAAATTGAGCAAAACATTCACTAGCGGACATCAAAGTCACAACACATCGTCAGTTGGGAGCGAATTTAGGGTAAACATACAAAAAAGAACTATACATCTTAATGTGCAGAAAAAAGCTGGTGAAATTTCTGGGAGCCTGTAACTTCAATATCGTCTTAACGAGCAAAACGAAATAACCACCAACTAACAATAAACGGATGCAAATCGGTATCACAATCCACTGAAGCGATAAGATAATGGAAATCTGCAACACTACTTGTTCTGTCTCTGTTGGACCAATTTCATGAAATTGATAGAGGCCATACATACCACTTTAGTCCGATCCCTTCATTTGTTCAACATGAAAGGCATTGAAGACATAAATGATAGACTCTCCAAGTGAAAATATTCTATTCTGAAAAACGACTTCTACTGGAAACCTGACCCTGCATCAAAAGAGGAAGTCATCAAACGGCAATTAATTGAAGTTGAAAGAAACAGGGCATCATCCGGTAGCTTTTTAATATGTTCGACTTCCACGCACTAAATCAGTTTACGGACATAGAAGTATTGCGCTATTTAAATGCATAAATTAGAGCAAGTAAAAATGATGGAGCCAGCTGTATACATCAATAAATCTAGGAAAGTCACTTTTTCGCTCAGAATCACTCGCAGCATAACAAGGGACAACAGCCAAACAATAACAAAGGAACAGTTTATACACAAAACAAATAACCTTAGTCAAGGCTATAATACAGTCAAAATATAGTAACCTTCACAGAACGAAAAATTTAAGAAGACCTGAGTCAATATGAAAAACTCAGCAGTAATGAAAAAAACTCCATAGCATAACACTGACCGGCACAATGGTATGGAGCGAAAACGATATCACAATGAGTGTTTCTAACAACAAATAACCTCGAGATGTTTGCTAACAGAACACCCTTGAGTGACATTTTGTCGATACAAAATTTAGCGCAGCACATCACCACCATATTTGCCATCATGGGTTTAGCCGCAGATGGAATGCAACATTCCATCCCAACACCGCAGGGCTCGACTTCTTTTGCTTGTATAGAATAAAATGACTAGCATATTTGACAAAATCATATTGAATTCGAAAAAAAGCAAAAACAATCCAATACACTAGAAATTTTTACTAAGAACAAAATGTGATGAAATAGATGAAATTAATGGAAGTATAACAAAGAAACGAAAAAATACCAAAATATGAAGTGAAGTAGTCGCAAAGATAGGATTACAAGACGTAAAAGAATATAAAGATAACTGACGAAATCC